GACCTAACCATTTCTGTTCGAACATGTCCTGAAGAAGAAAGTAGCTGAATATGGCCATTCTTCTGTTTTGCACCCTGCACTGGACAACTGGGAAGTGATATAATAGTTGTATTTTAGCTCTTTAATTTATATTATTTGCTGTAGATTGTGATCTTGATTTTCAGAGTTTTTTGTAGTATTTAAGAACTCATTTGCTTGTAATTTATCCATTCAAGAGTGGGGAATTCATTGGAAATATTGGGTAACCATACTGGTCACTTAGCAATTCTCCCATCTTCATTTTTATTACATGATAAATGAAGTTCGTGAATTTACATGGATTTACAGCTACTTACTGTATTGTGTTTTTTATGATGTAAATTCTGGTTATCAATTAATCTAGAGGAAGAAATTTCATAACTATTATTTAGATAGCACCAGAATGTTGAGTCGTGAGGTATTCAACCAATTACAAGGAATTTTTTGGCTGGAGGGTTATTCACTTTCCATCTTCACTTTACTGGGGGTGCTATAGAATTTGGATGTTTTGTGTGTTTCTTGTTCATTTGATGGATGTGGAATTTGGGTGATCTGAAAACACATAAAAGCATTATTTTGGGTCTTACACATACCAGAGCACAAAACAGGATTTTTTTGAATTAAATTAGAATTTGGGAGTTTTGTGTGTTTCTTGTTTATTATGGAAATTTTGTTACTGTAATTTTACTTTTTTTTAAAATCTTTTTTTTTTCTATTAGTTGAGTTATATACGAGTGTTGGTTGCTCGTGCTTTCTCGCCATTCTATTGTATGGATACTTGATTCTACTCCTCCATCATCGTTCGCCAAAGCATTAAAGTTAGTATCTGATTTTAATTCCCATTTGGTGGCTCCAGTCAATTTATGATTTTATTGAATTTGTGAATATGTGATTTGTCAATTGTAAATTTGTTAATGGATAATTAATTTGTGATTTGTGTTTGTGAGCTGTGATTCGTGAGATTTAGTTGGGGATTGTATCAACAATTCAAAATAGATACAACATTATTAATGAGATTGTAATTTATGAAACCGTTAAACTTAGTAACTTAAATCATTATTTATAGAAAGATTACTTTTTTCAGTTAAATTGATTCTTTTCATTGTATGTTTGTATCAGTTATGGAAAAGTACTTTAAACATAAATCTGTATTTCCATACGATGAACAAAATATTAATGAAAGAAATGTTCGAGATAAAAGGGATGGACATGATGTTGGATAAAAAAAGGATGACGAACTTGGTGATGAAATGAATGAAATTGGTGGAACTAGTCATGGAGATGTCCCAATTGAAACAAATACTAGGGATGTTGGGAATGAAAGGCTTGAATTTGATGTTACACAGCTTCCTTCAGATTTTGGATTGAGGGTTCCAATACAAAATTATGATGCTAATGTTCAAGATGTAATTCGAAGAGTATATGTGCAAGGGGTCTATGTCACCCTCGCAATCATAAATTTCCACCTAAAATATGGTAAATAAAGATAGGCGATTTTGTGTTTCATAGTATAACAAGTATCCTAGTTGGTTGGAATAAATCAAAGCAAAAAATGTTGTATTTTGCTTTTACTACTATCTTTTTAGCTCAAGTGATGGTTCATTTGTTAATCGGTGGGTTCTCAAATTGGAAAAGAAAGGATATTATTAAAAAACATGTTGGGGCACCAAGTAGTGCACACAATCTGTATGAATCATTCAAGAATCAAAGACAAAGCATTCAATTGTATTTCATTAAACAATCACATCAAGCTCGAACAGAGTATCGAATTCGTTTGAATGCATCAATTGATTGTGTTTGATTTCTTCTACGACAAGGGATGACCTTTCGTGGATATGATGAATATGAAGATTCAAACAATCGAGGAAACTTTTTTGAATTATTACATTGGTTGTGTGATCATAATGCTGAGATTAAGGCTATTGCTTTGATGAATGCACCTGAAAATCACAAATTGACATCACCATGAGTTCAGAAAGATATTGTGAGTGCTATCTGCCACGCGTTTTATATAACGTGATTTTATACCGCAAGCGCACGGTGTCAAGTTTTGTAGTATATTAAAGAATTGAAAAGTGTCGAACCCACAGGGATTGATATTCGAGTTCCACTGAGTACTATAATTGTGTCCGCGTTTACTTTATCTAGACAATCGAGTGTTGAATTAATATTTGATTTCTAAATTAACGTCAATGAATTAAATAGTGCAATAAAAGTGAGGCAATTTCTAAAGATTAAATCAAATTTACGTAATGTCTAGGGAATGATTTCACCATATTCTCGACATAATTCTCAATCCCTATAGATATTTCTATCAAATATTTCCCAAATTCATAGGCAAGAATCCTAAATTAATTCTATTTCCCCCTCTCGAGCGTCAAATAGAACATATCTCTATATTTTAACCCCAATATCTCTATTCCAAATTAAATATATAAAGATTATTACATACTTGGTTCTTGTTTTACCCTCAAAGATTCGTACTTTCTCTCGAAACCTTACATCAAACCCTAGATTTAATAACTTAGTTCATGATTGAAAAGAAGAACATGATAAAACACAAATTAAATTTCATGAAGAAGAGAAAGATAAGAGAAAACTCAGGTTGTTGCTCTATTTCTCGATCTTGTGGCTTGATTCTCAGTTGTTTTCTTCTTCTTCTCCAAAATCGGTTTGATCTTCTCTCAATTAGTGTATATCCTTGCCTCCTTTCTTCAGCCGTCCAACCCCTTTTTTCTGTTCTTTTGCTGAGTATTTATATTTTCTAAGGGTCCTCAAGGGTTAGGGTGTGATTTTTGGGCCGAAAAAATACTTAAAAATCCGGATTTTACTGTTTTGGAAACGGGCGCCATGGCGCCCAGGTCTCTGCTCCTTTTTTCTTCATGGGCGCCATGGCGCCCAAGTCTGGCGCCGTGGCGCCCGTTGTTCTGCCTCTTCTCTCTTTTTTTTTCCTTCCTTGGGCGCCGTGGCGCCCAGGCTTCTGCTTGCTTTTTCTTCTCTTTGTTTTTCCAAGCCTATTTTCCACTCCAATCTTATTCAATACTTGCTTATTCATGCTCCATTTTATTGATCATCATTTTTGCTCATCACCGGCTCCCAATAGTGATATTTTCTTGAGAATTGTCCAAACTGCAAAACAACACTAACACACACATCAAAACGTTCAAAAAATGCTCAAGAACACATCAAAAAACTCGATTTAGAAGCTTTAGTTTAATGAGTGGATTACACTCATCACTATCGCTTCTGCAACTCTTAATGTAATTATCAAAGATATGGGGGATAGCTTGTTTTCTATTATAGTTGATGAATCTTGAGACATTTTAGTGAAAAAGCAAATGTCAGTTGTTATTCGTTATGTGAAGAATGGGCGTGTATTGGAATATTTTATTGGTGTTACTCATATTTCAAGTACCACAGTTGTTGCACTTGAGGCTGCAATTGATCAATTATTCTCCACGCATAGCTTAAGTTTATCTAATTTGAGAGGTCAAGGATTTGATGGAGCGAGTAATATGCGAAGTGAGTACAATGGTCTCAAATCACTTATTTTGAAAGAAAACCCAAGTGCTTACTACATTCATTGTTTTGCTCATCAACTTCAACTAACACTTGTAGCTGTGGCACAAAAAATCCAAAAATTGAAGCTTTCTTCACTTTAATACACAGATTGTTGAATATGAGGATTGGCTAAGCGAAGTGATCTTATTCGAGAGAAACAATTATCGTGTGGAAATGTTTTATGTTATCATTGACATGCAACGTCAATAATTGAATGATCGTTTTTCTGAGGTGAATAGTGACTTGCATTGCATGTTTGTGTCCAAATAATTCATTGCTGCTTTTGACAAGAACAAATTAATTCGACTATGTGGTATTATCCAGTAGATTTTGACACAACAGATATCTCGAAACTTGATGATCAATTATATATATATATATACATAATTTTTTTCCATAAGGGTGTCCATGCCTCTCACCTGATGTGGGGCCCCATCCCATGTGAGAGGCAAGGACACCTTGATGTACAAAAATTATATACATCAAGCAAAGTCCCATGCATACTGATAAAGATTTTGAAGGATTACAAGGCCTTGGTGATCTAGCACAAACATTGTTTGCGAAAAATAAGCACGACGTGTATCTATTAGTTTTCAAGCTTGTGACATTAGCCTTAGTTCTTCCCGTGGCTACTGCTACAGTTGAAGAGCATTTTCTGCGATGACTTATGTAAAAAATCGCATGTGCAATCGAATTGGAGATCAATGGTTGAATGATAGTTTGATTGCATATATTGATAATGATATATTTGACAGTATCAAAAATGATGTAATTATGGAACGTTATCATAATATAAAAACTAGTAGAGAATAATTGTAATAAAATATCGAATAGATAAATTTTTTTGTAACTTTTTGTACAAGTTATATTGTGCCCCACTAACTCCATATGTCTGCGTCCGCTACTGATAATACGGTTAATTAAATTTAAGAATATTGACTCGACCACTAGTGTTACGTAGCATTACTTTGACCACTAGTGTTACGTAGCATTACTTTGACCACTAGTGTTACGTAGCATTACTTTGACCACTAGTGTTACGTAGCATTACTTTGACCACTAGTGTTACGTAGCATTACTTTGACCACTAGTGTTACGTAGCATTAACTCGACCACTAGTGTTACGTAGCATTACTTTGACCACTAGTGTTACGTAGCATTACTCAAGAGAATGATGATATCTACCCAACTAATGCTATAATATCATATTTGATATCATATTGATATAATACCATTTTCCTATAATCTCATTTTGTTGTTAACAGAAAAACGGTAAATGAGCAGTCAATCATTATGTAAGGATCCCCTGAAAATTTGGAACCAACAAACCCTAAATAAAAGACATTTATTATTTGTGTGGCTACAAAGGCCATTGTTCAACATAACAAATAGCCATCTTGCACTATCATTTTCACTTTCCCATAACGAGAGTGCAAGAAAATGGGGAAAATATTAAGGTTATTTGCGTGCTTTGTTCTTGTTTTTCTGGTGGTGAGCCACGAGGTACAAGCCGATTGCTTCGACAATTGCCTCGAGTTGTGTCGCACAATTCAGAACCCCGAATTCATTTGTCTTCCCAAATGTTTAGGTCTCAACTGTCTGAGATGTACGTATTCATTTCAATATCTTTCTTTTTTCTTAATCACGGGTTTAGTTACAAAGAATATAACAAAAATGTCATGTCAAATATACACTTAAAATAAATAAATATATTTATCTTCTCTCCTAATATTATTCTCTTTCTTTTTGTTCCTACAGCCAATTCGGGAAATGGAAAATCCTGAAACGGAGGATTGGATGAACACCGGCAGGTCGAAAACCATCACCGGAGAATATCATAGCAAAGCTACGGCAGGTGGAACAAGAATTGCCATAAAAGCCCCAATACTAATGAATCACATCAACTTCTAAACTTCAATATTCTTGCATTTATTTATTAAGGTAAATGTACTAATAAGTAAATATTTCATTTATTAATCATGATATGCAACGAATATAATTTCATATTAAATGGGATTTGTGAATGCAAATATAAATTTAAACTTGAACAATTTGTGATTGCTACAACAAATAAAGACTATCGAAGTGGTAGTCTAATTGGTTAAAATTTGACTTTATTAATTCTATGATCAATGGTGATTCAATCCACTTGCATATATACCATACGTTGTAGAATGGATGAAAGAATTGTGAATTGTCAATGTTGTGTTGCCAAAGCTAATGAACGGTAGAGTTTACCTAAATGAACATAAAGAATAAATTACACATGAAGTTCTCAATTTTTATTTTTTACTTTGAAGTGTTTTACTCATGAATTTTGTCCAAAATAAATCAACATTAGGTAAACTTCGGAAACCCACCTTGAGGTTTGATAAGTATATAGACCCACCCCCTTATCATAAAAGTTAAAGAAACATTCCCTGTTAACATAAATTTCTCATTTTATGCTAACCACAAAACTACATCTATTTTCTTATTTTTCCTTTTTCAGAAATAATTACATTAAATATATTTGTCAAAATTAACTTGTTCATTTTTCTCATAAAGAATAAGATTGATCTAAAATTTTAACTAGATAGAGGAAAATAATTAATTTTTATTTTTAGTCATTATCATTCTTCATTGTACATTTAGTATGGAAATCCTATCTACAGATTTGATCTAATGGTCTAGACATATAAAAATCTTTTAAAATCATATCTAGATCGTTATATAACTAAAGGATTTTAAGTTTTTGTCATATTCACTGATAAAAAAACACCCCATATGTAAATAAGATAAATAAATTAACTTGGAGAGTTATACAGCTCATATAACATTGAACACAGGTCTTCTAGATCAAATAGGTCAATATCGGAGAGGAACGACTACATCGACCTTTCGTAGGTTTAATTTACTGTCTGATTGTTAGGGACACTAAATGGGATGGGAGCGCGGGGGTGGTACGATACAGGAGGATTTTCTTGTATGGACCTTAAAGTCTTGAATGAGTTTAAACTAGGGTTGGTATAAATAATAACGTTATAACTCTATTTTTCATACTGAATAAATTTATTCCCGTTTCGCTCTCGTGGACGTAAGCACACCGTCGAATCACATAAATACTTATATTAATTTCTCTCTTTCACCTCTTTATTATTGTGCATAAAAAAATAAAAAATAAAAATCCTTGCAAGTAAATCAAAGTGTGCACTAGTACCGACCCTTCGAGATGCACTCGTGAGACTGTCATCATATTTCAAGAAAACTTTATTTGTTTGTTCCAATATGAAATGTTGAGCAAACCATGTGAATCTTATACAATTGCCAACTTAGTCAAAGACCCCGTGATTTGGTGGGCCAACCAACTATCATACAAGAATTTTGTGTCCAATATTTGGTTCTTATTACTGTTTCTGTTGTAATGGGACGCCTTTGCGAATTAAATCAGTTGGGTCTATTTCTCAATCGTTCTGACTTGTTTCTATGGAACCAAGGTTAAAAAAATTGAAAAAATCATCCCCGAGTTAGGAAAGTTACCGTGGAGGTATATTTGTGTTGTTGTAATATGAGATTTGGCATTTCCCGTATTTGAACGATAAAATTTTTCTGATTATACTTTTATCTTTATTTTAGTAAAGTTACTTCGAAATAAGAAATAAATAAAGATTAAAAGTAATTCATGCATTAGCATCAACATAAATAACTTATTCATTTTTAGTATTTACGAACGAAAAGTTATTTACTTTAAAAAGATTGAACTAGGATTCATTTACGGATTTCTATTCTAATATAACTAGATTTATTTTCAAGAGTTATTATTCAACTATGGTTTGTCTCTAACTGCATAAAAATTATAAGTAACTTTAATTTTCTTTATCTGCAATCATGTTTTGATAACTTACTTTTTAAGTAATTTCACAAAAAAAAAAATTTTTTAGAAGTAACAATTATATTATTGTGCACATAAGCAACTTATTTATTTTTAACTTTTATTACAAAAAATAATTGGGTGTGTGTGAATCGATTTTAATCCATCCTTAACCCTTGTTAGTTGACCAGATAACCTCGTATTTTTTACAACAAATATCATATTGAACTAAGTTAGTTTAACCCAAAACGTTTCGCATGACAATTTTCAACTTTCCTATTTAATGTTGTAATATTGTGTTGTGGTCTGGTAAACATCAGATTCTATTTGGTTTTATTTGGTTTAATTGATGTATATAAACAAGATTAAAGAGTATAATATCCAGGGTGATTATATTTGTTTCTGTTTATTGCTTTACATTTCAATAGTAAAGAAGGTTCTTAATTTTCATTTATTGTTTGTATTAATATATTCAGAATTTTCTCTCATACCATTATCCAATTAACTAGCACATCTTATCCTCGATGACCACTTCAGCCCAATGTTCTTGTTTGTATACTCTGAAATGAGGACAAATATTTTGCCCAACTTTTTTATTTGTTCTTTTTTTTTTTTCCCTTTTTGAAAAATATGAGAGAGACAGATAAGTCTTTTAAAACCTCATAATGAATTTTTTGAAAAAAAAATAAAATAATAAATCATCACTAGAAATAAGATATGCTAATTAATGAAATATGAATCATAAGAACATGAAGAGTATATATCCATGAGGCACCAGCGTGGCTGATCGAAATGACCAAACAACAACACCTAGACAGAAATTAAGTTAATGTAAAATGATGAAATTGATGATATCGCCATGGGACTACATTGAGATAAGGAATCGACCAACCCAACACACATATAGTCTCGCAACTACTCTCGACTCAACTTAAGGATGAGCACCAACAACGAGTTTTAAGTCGAGCACTTGCACCCCAGAACAAGTATGGGATCAACACCTCAGCTTATTATGCTAATAACAAATTCAACATAAATGGTCGCTAATATTTTATTATGGCCACACAATAAGTCATATTCATAAAAAAAATATCTAATCTTCATTAAAATATCGTGTAACACTTGTAAAAATATGCATCACTTCAAAATTGTGAATAATGTTAATTAGCAAAATGGTGCTATAGCATCAGTCTCGATAATCATAAATTAATAAATTTAGTTAAATTAATCAAGTGACATTACATTTAAGTGAATTTATCATTTATTTACATATATTTGTCACCTAGACTGATACTTGACACAAGTGGTGTTGAATATCATTACTCCAAATTTTTAGATGCTAACTCATGTTGAGAACAAAAACCTTGCTTTACAAGTTGCACATATGAGTGATGTATAACGATTTAATATATATTTAGTCAGTTTTCATTACTAAAGATTAACTGCACAAGTATTATGAAAGTTTGGAATCAAGCTAACATCTTAATCAATGTGGTGTTGTGTTTTAATTTTACTTTTTTTGCAATTATTAAATATCGTGACATCTAAAGTTAAATGTAAATTGGTTAGGCTATAAATTACTGCAAAACCAATCACAACTTAAGATAATAATATGATCGT